AATATGAATGTATGCATTCGAAACGTTATTCCATTCTCTGTTTTCATGTATAATTTTTATTTATAATTTATTGCTGTTTAATTAAATAAATAAATCATTAGTTTATAACGTGATTAGAGAATGGGAGATTTGCGACTGAGACACTTGTGATAATCATTAATAAATAATTAATTGAAAAGAATTTCGCGTTAAAATTGATACGAGAAATTTATCCGTATTTCCATCTTCAAGATGCGAACTTAAAAGTGTATAAATTTTTAATAGAAAACTGATAATTAATGATTTTTCAATGTTGCGCTTTCGAAATGGTGGGGGAATATTAAGGGACGCACACCATATTGGCGCGTTTTTTTCTATCCTTCTTATACAATGTTACTCTCCTTTTCTATCTATGACGTCACGAATACCTCCTTGCATATTCTATATTCCTACTAACAAGTTGAAGCTTCCAGGATCCAAACGCGAGATGGCGTTGATACTGGAATAATTTTCTATCTTTGTTTACGTTTATGAAATATATATGAAATATGTTTTATTAAAAATTTGAAGATCAAAAAAAAAGGCATGTTTGAAATTAATTATAATTTAAAAATTATTTAAATGTGGTGAAAAAATATGAATAGAAATAATAGAGAAAAAATATTCTTGAAAAAATAAATGTATTTCAGAAATACACGTCATATATGTAAGTAAATATTCCAACGAGGTATTATTTATTTGATTAGGTTATGATTAGAAATATACAATTAAGTTAATTTTTTATGATTTCAAGAAAATTATATGCATTTTTACAGAATTATTTATTTAAAAAAATTATGCTTCACACTGCAAGATTTTGTGTGTGTGTGTATGTATATATACATATGTATGCCAAAAATTAATATAATGGTATAGAAATTATAAATAAAAATTGAGAAAATTGATAAATCCTGTTTTTATTGTGAATTTTAAAGATATAGATATAGAATAATTTTAATTTTTAATTTTATTTATTTGTACAAATACGAAATATGATTTAAAGAATTATTTGTGCTTATTTCTGATATTAATAATAAATATTGATATATTAAATCAATAAAAACATCACATTTTGCTCGCGTCTTTTATTTAAAAAATGACAATATCAATAAAATAATAAAATTATATATATGATACAAATAAAAATATAATATATATGTTTTATAATATATATATATATATATATTTATTTATAGAATTATAATATAATATATAGAAAAAAAATTTACGCATAAAATATATATAGATTTCCCTATGATATATAAAAAATCAAATTTATATATAAAATATACTTAAATATTTCTCTACGAAATACAGAAAAACAATATATTTTCTATTTATTCTATTGCAATTTGCTGACTGAAGCATCTTACTAAATATCGGAACATGAGGATGAAAGGGACAACTGAGAACAGTAGTCTTATGAAATTGAGGAAACTAATCGTCGAACCATGCGAAATGACGTTTCCATGCGGTATTATGTTTCTTCGCTTCCTTTACTACTTGACTGGACAAACTTTATTTAGTCAGAATTTATCGTGAAATGAATAAATTTTCCGGGATTTTTTAGTTACGTTGGCAACCATTATGATATTCTTAATCGATATTCGCGTTCCAGTCTCTGTGTGTTTCCAGGTCGCGGTTACGCGGTAATACTTTACTTTCCTCGATGTTGGTAGCATCGCTTGTTTCGGAAGCAAGATGTGCACTCGCTTCGTTCAATAACACGCTGCTCGTTTCTAGGCTTCATTAGTAGCTTGAAATAGATTCGTATTGTTGAATTTAACTTTCGATCGATTCCTTTGTACGAGACTAAAGTGTATAAAGATTACTCGTATTTTTATTATTGTCTGTCATTACTTTTAGAATAAACACGTTAGAATAGCCACATAATACATGCATTGAAATACGTTAAATGTGTTGCCACGTGAAGAAAAGTGAAAACATTGTGAATTAACTGTGTTATATTATGACAAAAGGATCGTAAAAATAATTAGATGTATATCGAATTTGTTGAAAATACACAAAATGAGAATTGAAATTTAATTGCAAGCAGCGTATCTATCTACTTGTATAACTATAGAAAGAGAAGGAGGACGGACATGGAAGGGGTTCGAACTTCCCGTCTATTCTTCAGCATGTTAGTTCTGCGGTTCACGAACGAGCACATGTCGATTGTTCGCAAGAGGATCGCAATATTTCGCTCTTTCGCTTTCTTCTCGTACGAGATATATTATTGTTACGTTTTAGAAAGCAAATTCACGAGCCTTGGTGAGGATAAATCCTTTTTTCGTTACATACTTGGCGTATTATCCTCGCAAATGAATTATTCCATAGATTGACAAAGAATCGTTAAAAAAGTATTTCTTGAAAGTTTGTCACGTGACCTTGAATGACGTCACAGAGGCCAATAGGAAACCTTCCAAACGGCGTTATAACCCGAACTACCGGAGCAAGAGTTCGTGTGACGTCATCTGCGCAGTAGAGCCATGCGCATCCGTCTGTGTCCAACGACGTGACCGAGGTAGAATCAATTGTAGATTTGCAATAAAAGTCTTTCTCCCTTCGATCCTTCCATCATTAAGTTGAAGGTGATTTTTCATTCTAGCGTTGAAAGTTTTTTTGAGATTCATTAATGTGATTATTATGGTTATTGATATAAGTTGTTATTTGCGTGATTTCTTAATTTTTGTGCTTCATCTGTATCGTTCAACTATTTTCTACTTTGGTCTATGATGATATCCTTGATTAGAGAGGAAACCTATCTATATGATAGTTCTGAAAGCCGAGAAAGAATTTATCGCCTGCGACGTGTGATGGAACGGGAGAAATATATACGTTCTAAAGTAAAGGCTAGCGGCAACGTCGCAAACCGTTTGTCGGACTCAGCCGCCGAGTCACCGACTTTTCGAGGCCACGGGACGTTGTGTGCTCGTGTGTTTAAATTCATTTCGATTACGAGCGCGATCTATCGGTGCTGAAAAATATGAGCTCAAGGACGAGCTTTTCCCGCATGCTTGTGCCCGAATCTCGGCCGGTAACGCAGAGATTTACTTTCCCCTCTTCGTGTTCCACTTATGGCTAACCTTGCGTCTCTGAATGGCAGCGTTGCAGAGTTCACGCTTTTTCTTTTTTAACCGTTAACTGTTTTTGCACACCGTTGTAAGATTTATTATCGAACGATTCTTTTTAAAAATTCTGGATATATTTTCTATTTTTAGATTAAAAGATGTGGAATATGGAAATGTTATCGCTTATTTCCTAGATTGCAAGAGAAAGTGACAAAATATTTCTAATTCATTTGTTGGTCTTGTTGAGAGTAATATTATTTTTTTATATCATTTACGATATTTATAAATTTATAAATTTATAATAGGGAAGAAAAATATGAATGTGAAAATGACATAATTATAATTAAATTTTATTATTCTAAGAATTTTATTTTATTTTAAAATTATTTTACAATTAATAAAAATAAGAATCATTTTTAAAAGATTTTAATCATTATTTTATTCTTAACTAAAATATAATTTTGCGTTTACCGATTGTTATAAAGAATAATTTTGTCTGAACAAGTTTATTTTTCAGTTATCTGCATAAAAACATTGGATAAAGCGTTTCATTGAATTATCTTATAATTATTTTTTTTTTTCTCATTAATATCCCAAGTTATTTTTAGTTTTATTTGAATATTTCGCTTAAATGTCTCGCAAGATATGGAGAAATGAAATTCAAGTATTTGCAAATTTTTTTCGATAAAGGAAGATATTTAGATGTTTGTTATATTTGCGTTTCATTATTATAATTAATTTGAAATTTTTGAGATAGAAATAGGACAAGGATACAATCGTTTGTTGTATTTAATTCTCGCATAAAGAGAAGGAATGTGAATTATCAGCTTAAATATTTACCAATGTAATATCGATAATTGAGATAGAATTAAGAACTTTTGTACAAATCAGAAATTTGTGTGCAAAGTTAAAAAACTTTCCATTGAAAATATTATTCGGTACATTTAATCGATGAATTCGTTTATTTTTCTTTATTACATCAATTATGTTTCGAGGAAACACACTTTTATCTTTTTATTATTTCTTTTTTTTTCTCCCCTTTCCAGATTCAGATTATTTAGCAAACTTTATCATTTTACAAAATTAATATTGTGCAATTAATATGTATATATAAAATTTCATTTACAACCAAGAATCCCAAAATTGAAATATAAAAGCATGGAATTTATTTATTTATTCTATAAATTTATTAATGTAAATATACAATGTTAAAATGTTAAAGCGATACAGATACATACAGATATATATTACAATTGTACAAAAAGCGTTAAAGGAAAAGAAACTTATATAAGATTATTTTTCGCTTATATGCTTTTTAATATTCTTTTGAAAAACTTACATTTATTGTTTTAAATAATAATATGGTATTATCATCTAAAAGTTTTGCGCAATGTTCCATTTGCTTTCGTTTCATCAATCTAAAGAAAGAATAATCTTTAATGTTATAATACGACGAATGGAAAAATGCGGTCATTGTAAATTATTCAGTTTATTAAATTACAATATGCAAGTGCCATAATATATGTAATGTGAAATACGATATGCAATAGGGAGGATTTGATATAGGCAAATAAAATAATGCAGTTTTGTGTTATTATTTAATAACATGATGAAAACGAGCGCGTGATTATTGAATTAAACGGAAAGTGAACAAAGATTGAAAATAATTTTTTTGTTATTACATCTGTATATTTTGTAACAGAGAATATAAAATTGTAATATGAAAACTTATTAATACGATATTAAAGAAATTTTATTTGAAATTGAAGTGAATTTGAAAAAGATGATAATTTCGAATAATTTTTCGCTCTATCATTCAATAATATAATGTTATTATTGTATTATTAATATATATTATTGCAGTAATGTGGAATGTGATTAATGATGCATTATACTTTATTTTATTTACAGATTCGGCACATTAGGGAACAGGAAGGCTCGAATAGTCATGCCGTGCAACAGGGGGAAGTATCTTCTTCGAATCCTAACATACTGTCCAACGATCAAGTTGGTCCTATTTTACTTGAGGTATAATTCAATTTAAATCGAATTCCATCAATCTATTTTATCTTTGTTGTTTGCGTTCATCGGTGTATATAAGACATAATCAGAAGGAACATTTTTATTCTGTTTATTGACGATTTAAGAGCAAATAGGCAAAGTCCATTGAACCTAATTCGATAAATATTTTATCGGAATTAATTATCCTTAAATTTGAATCGATATAATTAAATTTTAAATTCTTTTTTTAATATCGAGAAAGAAAAATATATATATATATATATATATATATATATATAT